CCCTTGACAGGGAATTATGGAGGTCGAGCATTAAGGTTGTAGGTTAGGGGAGAGTTGTGAATATTTCTACAGCACAATAGAGTGAGACTAGCCAGTTAGGAGTTAGACTAAGAATGTCATTGGTCGTCTATTGATGCAGGGCTTTACCTGCTAGTTTTACTATACCAGTCATCTATTTCGCATTTCGTATTCTGTATTTCATATCTCTTATTATGCTGTTATTTTATTATGCATTTTTATGGTACTAATATATCGGCTCCTGTTGCTTTTTTTTGAGCCGAGAGTCTCCTGGAAACAGCCTCTCTACCCTTCGGGGTAGGGGTAAGGTCTGCGTACATATTGCTCTCCCCAGACCCCACTTGTGGGATTATACTGGGTCGTTGTTGTTGTTGTTGTTGTAACCTTTAAAAAGTGTGTCTAAAACACACTACTTTTGACCAGATAGCACTTGCATGTTTACACACACAAAAAGCGCGTAAAGCCAGTATAAAATCCCATTTTTTATCTTCCCTTCCCACAGGAACCCCTCCCCCTCCCTCTGGTCTTCTTCCTCACCACCCTCCCCCTCATTTTCTCCCCAAATAGAATTTTTGAAAGAACATATCAATTTTAGATCTAAAATTGAGCAGATTTTGTTAGTTTATTGTCCAAATATTGTGAAATTATTTATTTGTGATAGATTTAAAAGCTTTAACAATAGTATTGAAGGTTTGGTGAAAAAATCTAGAATCCACCATTGTTGCGGTATCGAAAAAAGCTTGAAAGTTCAATTGGGTCTTGTTGATTATTAGGTTATTGAACTTAATTTGTTGCTCAATTATTTTCGACTAGTTGTTTAGATATTATGGTTGAATTTTGATGTTGTTGGAAACTTTCTTACAAACAACTATGGTAGTAGCAACAATGGTGCTTAAAATAGAAAATGGAAAGATGAAGAAGATGAGTTTTAATTTTAAATTCTAATAATTTTTTTCCTTTTAACAGTCAATTACACGTGTCACGACCCCATTAGGGCGTGACTTTCACGTTATCTGAAAAATTGGTCAAGCACAAAAGTGGTGCGTCTAAGACACACTTTTAAAAGGTTAAAAGACTCCCATATTTAAGCATTAAAATCTGGATGAGTCTAATCAAATGAAATAAAATGGAATCTAGAAATCAGATCTATATCATAATGCTGGTAAAACTCTAAATGAAGTCAAACTACTAATTAAGATAATACTCTTAAATATGATACCTCCCTAATGGTCTAAAGTAGACCAACACAAATGCATAAAATAAAAGGCTAGAACAAGTCATAAAAAAATAAAAAATAAAAAGTGATTGAAAAAATCCTTAGAGAGTAATTGAATATATCATAATCTTGCACCAAAAAAAAAAAAGATTATATCATAATCAAACAAGCTACGTAATACACTATCATATAAATTTTAATTGAGCAAACCGTCAAATAAATAACATAAATGAAAAGAAAATAAGAAAATTTAAGAAAATCCAAAGAAGAAAAAGCTTCACTTAAATTCTTTCCTACTTTAATGTTGTTATTATTGTAATCTTGAGGCTACGTTGAACACTAAAAAACAAAGGAGTAATCAAAGTTCAGCGTGTATAAATACATTCTCTTTGCCAATGCTTCTTCAGAATATCAAAAAGTTCTTTCTTTCAAGTTCAATCTTCAAAAGTGAGATCTCTTTTAGTTCGATCTCACTCAACTACTAATCCCTACAATGGCTAGTGACCCTACGATTCTCATAAGCAAGAAATTACTTCTTTCTTTCCTCCTTATTTCCATGGTGGTGGCTCCACCACCGGCTATGGCGGGGATCACATGTGACACTGTATACAACGACCTGCAACCATGCCTAAGCTACGTGTTGGTTGGTGGAAGCGTGCCGGAAGAATGCTGCAGTGGGCTTAAATCTCTTCTTGCTAACGCAACGACCACCCCTGACCGCCAAAGCGCGTGCTCGTGCGTGAAGAATCTTGCCTCCGCCGCCACCGGAGAAGAAGTTAGCCGCGCCGCTAGTATCACCGGGCAGTGTGGTGCCAATGTTCCTTTCAAGATTAGTCCAGATGTTGACTGCTCAAAGGTGAACTAAAGAAATTAAAAGAGGTTGATGAATGGAAAAGGGTAACTTAGTAGAAACTCTTTCTATATATAGCATATGAGCTACATAAAAATGAAATTTTGTTTTTTTCCTAGTAGTGGATTATGTGAGGAAATCACCTCAAATTAATTATCTTGTGTGGTTTAATCATCCTCATGAAGGAGAACTTTTACATTTCTAAAACTCCATCTAAAATTTCTTTTTGAAAAAAAAAAAACAGTTTGATATATAACATGGAAATTAATGAACCGAAGAAGGGATGCTTACGGTTAGGGGTGTGCATTCGATTTATCGATTCGATTTTGACCCTTATCGATAATTACTTATCGATTATCGATTTGTACATATGCTTATCGTTATCGTTTCAATAAGGTTTCGATTTTTTCGACTTCGATTTATCGATTCGATTTTGACCCTTATCGATAATTACTTATCGATTATCGATTTGTACATATGCTTATCGTTATCGTTTCAATAAGGTTTCGATTTTTTCGACTTCGATTTATCGATTCGATTTTGACCCTTATCGATAATTACTTATCGATTATCGATTTGTACATATGCTTATCGTTATCGTTTCAATAAGGTTTCGATTTTTTCGACTTCGATTTATCGATTCGATTTTGACCCTTATCGATAATTACTTATCGATTATCGATTTGTACATATGCTTATCGTTATCGTTTCAATAAGGTTTCGATTTTTTCGACTTCGATTTATCGATTTCGATTTCGATTTTGTCCTCTTCGATTATCGGTTTATCGATAAACCGATAATCGAAGAGGACAAAATCGAAATCGAAATCGATAAATCGATAAACCAATAACAAATAATCGATTCGATTTATCGATAAACCGATTCGAATGCACACCCCTACTTACGGTTCGTTGAAAAATATATTAAAACCAAAAATCGAATCAAACCAATTAAATAACCGATTTTCTGTTTGATTTGATTTAAAATTTTAAAAGATCGCACGATATGTTGTATGGTTTGCCTTTAGCAAAAGCAAACCGAAGAAAAATCAAACTAAACTAACAAATTATAAACAGGGTTTTTATAATTACATATATGCAATATATTAATTTTTATAAATATATTTTATATACGTTTTCATCTTTATTTTTATAATTAGTATTATCTCTCATAGGAGAATAGGCTTTAAGCCTTTAAACTTTCTCAAAAGAAAGTCATAAATCAAAATCTATTTATGTAAAGAAAAAAATATGAGATTTTACCTAGATTTTTTTATATTTCTTATGAACTTTATTCAGCTGATTAAAACTTATAGATCTCAAGATATTTTCTCCATAATCCAAGGAAATTGTAACCATCAAAATAAAAGGGTAATGGCAAAGGAGGAAAACTTTTTTTCATTGCAAGAAAAGAAAAAAAGGAAACCAGACATTTGTTAAATATCGAACCAAATCGATAAATATGTATAATAATTGGAAAACCAATTAAAATTGATTTTAATTTCAATCAAAAATCGATCCAGAACAAACTATAAACACTCCTAAACCGAAAATTCTTCGACACGAGGCTGGTATCCTTATTAGCCATCGATTCATACACTGTATTAGTTTCCTCTTTTAGTATAAATGGCTATCTTACCCAGAAAAAAAAAAGGTAAAAAGAAAACAAAGAAAAAAACAGAGGAGAGAATCTTGCATGTACTCCCTCAACTCTCAAGTTTCTTTTACTTCCTCCGTCTCAACTTATTTGGCAGTTCACAAATTGCGAGAATTAAACGAGTTTACTTTAACTACAAATTCGTACATAGAATCTTCAATTCTTCTAAATTTTACATATTTGAAAATTATGTAAAAAGTTCTATAAATCACGATAATTAATAATTTAAAATATTTATAAGACATATGAAAACCACGATAAAAAGAAAATCTCATTTAACTCTCTGTCCGAATTTTCCACCTTCAGAAATTGTGATGGCGCCTACTCGTGAAAGCTAGGCAAGCCGACAGTTATAGTTTTATCACCATTTTATTAATCAAAACCGGAACAGATAATAATGAAAAACAAGATAATTATGAAATGTGGAAGTGATATAACAATGCCACAACGCAAGTACATAACTACTCCATGGATCTAGTGTCACAAACTCGACCCTGCATCCTCAAAACTCCAACATCCCCAACTGTAACCTGCTTGGAACCACCATGCCGCACTGTGTCCCTAAGGACAAGCAAATGAGGGTCATCATACTGTCAATCCCTGATACGCTCAAATAATGAAGATCGAGCGACTGTGCAAGCTAGAACACGGTTGGGCTCAAAAACATCCAATCTCACGAACTGATTGGCTAAATCCTGAACATCCAAAGCAAGCGGTCTCTCACCGACTGGAATATATGCTAGGCTGCCCATACTGGATGACTTCCTACTCAAAGCATCGGCCACTACATTGGCCTTCCACGGATGATACAAGATGGTGATATCATAGTCTTTTAATAGCTCCAACCACCTACTCTGCCTCAAGTTTAGTTCCTTCTGTTTGAACAAGTATTGTAGACTCTTGTGATCCATGAACACCTCACATGACACGCCATATAAATAGTGCCTCCAATTCTTCAGCGCGTGAACAATGGCTGCTAGCTCCAAATCATGAACTGGATAATTCTTTTCGTGAATCTTCAACTGCCGTGAAGCATGCAATAACCTTGCCATTCTGCATCAATACCGCACCCAGTCTAATACGAGATACGTCATAATATACTATATATGGCCCTGAACCTGTGGACAATACCAACACCGGTGCCGTAGTCAAAGCTGTCTTGAGCTTCTAAAAACTCGCCTCACACTCGTCCGACCACCTGAACTGGACACCCTTCTAGGTTAACCTGGTCATCGGGGCTGCTATAGATGAAAACCCCTCCACAACTGACGGTAATAACCCATCAAACCCAAGAAACTCCGGATCTCTGTAGCTGATGTGGGTCTAGGTCAGTCCTTGAATGCCTCAATCTTCTTAGGATCCACCTGGATACTCTCTGCTGATACGACGTGACCCAGGAATGCTACTGAACTCAACCAAAACTCACATTTCGAAAATTTAGCATACAACTGACTATCTCTCAAAGTCTGGAGAACGACTCGAAGATGTTGTTCGTGCTCCTTTCGGCTGCAGGAGTAGATCAAGATATCATCAATGAAAACAATCACAAAGGAATCTAGATAAGGCTTGAACACTCGGTTCATCAAATCTATAAAAGCTGATGCGGCACTTGTCAACCCAAATGACATCACTAAGAACTCATAATGCCCGTACCGAGTGCGAAAAGCTATCTTAGGGACATCGGATGCCCTAATCCTCAAATAATGGTAGCTAGATCTCAAATCAATCTTCGAAAATACCCTGGCACCTTGAAGCTGATCAAACAAATCATCAATCATCGGCAATGGATACTTGTTCTTAATGTTGACCTTATTCAACTGTCGATAATCTATACACATCCTCATCGACCCATCCTTCTTATTAACAAACAACACCGGCGCACCCCAGGATGAGACACAAGGTCTGATAAAGCCCTTATCAAGCAAGTCTTGCAGTTGCTCCTTCAATTTTTTCAACTCTGGCGGGGCCATACGATATGGCGGAATAGAAATGGGGTGAGTGCCCGGCGCCAAATCAATCCAAAAGTCGATATCCATATCAGGTGGCATCCCCGGCAGGTCTGCAGGAAATACTTCTGGAAACTCCCGAACAACTGGCACGGAATCCATAGAAGGAACCTCAGCACTAGACTCACGAACATATGCCAAGTAAGTCAAACACCCCTTCTCGACCATACGCTGAGCCTTCATATAAGAAATAACCCTACTGACAGAATGACCAAGAGTCCCTCTCCACTCAATCGAGGCAAACCCGGTAAGGCTAAGGTCACAGTCTTGGCATGACAGTCTAATATAGCATGGTAAGGTGAAAACCAATCCATCCCCAAAATAACATCGAAATCAACCATATCGAGGAGTTGGAGGTCTACACTAGTCTCAAGACTCCCAATAACAACCATGCACGAATGATAGACACGGCCTACAATAATATAATCACCCACCAGCGTGGACACATATACGGGAGCACTCAAAGAATCACGAGGCACAACCAAATATGAAGCAAAATAAGAAGACACATAGGAGTATGTAGACCCAGGATCAAATAGAACTGAAGTATGTCTACTACAAACCGAAACAGTACCTGTGATAACAACATCGGAGGACTCAGTCTCAGGCCTGGCTGGAAAAGCATAAACCACTCTAAACTACATCCTTGGGATGGCCTCCTGTTGGCTGGTCTCCACCTCTAGTGGCCTAACCTCCACCTCTAATACCTCTACCTCCACCTCTAGCTGCCTGACCCCTGCCAATAACTAGCTGAGCCAGTGGTGGAACACCCGGTGCCTGAACCATAGCATTAGAACCCTGATGTTGAGAACTGCTCGAGGCTCGAGGGAAAAATCTAGCAATGTGCCTCGGATCGCCACAAGTATAACAAGTCCTCAACTGCTGGGACTGCTGACCCTGGAATTAACCCTGACGGCCTGAATGGCCACCCTGAAAACTCTAGAGCGGAGGGGAAATAATAGGAGCTGGTGATGCACTGTAGGGTAGCTGATCTAAATACTGCATGTGAGGACCACGACCACCTGGAGCACCGTGAGAAGCTTGTAGTGCTGAATGAAATGGCTTGGGAGGATGGCCCCTACCAAAAGAATCCCTCCTTCCAGACGAGGCACCACTGAATCTACCAGAATGAAGGGGTCTCTTATCAGACCTCTGACCGCTCCTCTGATCTAGAACCATCTACCCGCCTGGCCACATTGGCCGCATCCTGAAAAAAAATCTTGCTCCATGTCTCCTTAGCCATCTGCAACCAAATAGGCTGAGCGAGTCCCTCAATGAACCTCCTCACTCTCTCTCTCTCTCGGTGGGGATTATAAGAAGAGCATGACAAGCCAAATCAACAAACCTAGTCTCATACGAGGTGACAGTCATAGAACCCTACTGGAGGCGTTCAAACTGCCTCCAATAATCCTCTCTCCAGGTGATAGAGAGAAACTTCTCCAGAAATAGCTGAGAGAACTGATCCCAAGTCAGAGCTGGTGA